TATATATATATATATATATATATATATGTTTGCATCTATGATTAATAATATATCGGTTTCTCGAAACAATATTGTTAAATGAGAATAATATAAATTAAAGATCTACGTATATCGAATACGAGACGTAATACAGCCAACATTAAATTAATATAGTAAATTATTTAGACTTGAGCTTAACTTAATATCAATTTTCGTCTGCCCCCAGTGGCACAGCGGTATGTCTATGAACTTACAATGCTAGAAACCGGTTTTCGATACCCATGGTGGGCAGAGGACAGATAGCCAATTGTGTAGCTTTGTGCTTAACTTCAAACAAACAAACAATTTTTGTCTTCAATCTTTACCGTTTATAAATACAATTATTTATCAAAAGCAGAGTGAGGTCTTTTATACAACGAACCCTTTGATTCACAGTCTGAACACGCTAATCACTAGACACGCCCGACTTCAGAAAGAACGTATAAAAAGGAAACTTCCTCATTTTTTTCCAAATCTTCATTTGTTTGATTGTTACATCTCAGCGCAAAATAACAATTTGTAATATGTAACTAAATAACTTCGGTCAATGACAAAGTACAACAACCACAAGTGTGTAAGTTATGGAAGTAACGCTAACATGTGACCTCTTAAAAGTACTGATGTAGATGTGCAAGTTGTTCTTCCAGAAATACCGAAGGAGGATGACCCCATGACAATTGTGACCGTCACAAGGTCAACGTAGGCTAAATCCGGTTATTTGGACTATATTTATGTTAATACGTGCGTCAGTATGTGTGAATGTAAGCAATGTTGAAAAATTTGACGAAGAAAAAATATTCACTGAAAGAGATAGTAACATATGGTATATTTCACATGCCACATGTACGTGCATATATGTTGTTGTATTCTGATCACTTTTAGAAGGTAGTAAAGGTCAAGTTATCACTTGTTGGTCCTTAATGGTAATCATTATAATGAAACACAACAGTAAGACAGTTGATAATTTTCAGTGCACGATTTTAAACTGGCTAAACATGTATTTCCAGTAGGAAGAGTGTATAATAGCATTTTAGCCTACACTTTGCTACAGTAGGAAGAGTGTATAATAGCATTTTAGCCTACACTTTGCTATGGGTCATTGTTCACGATGCTTAATGTGAATATCCAAGATTTATTTGAAACCAGTGCCGTAATTTCAATAAAACCTTCGAAAGGGATGGGATGGCTAATCTGTCATCTGGTATTGGGGGTGGGGTGGAATTACAGTTATTTAAACTCTATTCCTGGAACTATTCATTATGCTTAAAGCAGCTAATGAAAAAAAAAAAAAATAGAAGACCCTGTTCAACCTCCTTCCCATCCACAAATAGTTTCACTAAAACTTTGTAATCATCGACAAGACATCACATCTGAGCACTTGAGGGTGTGGAATCATAAATAATATTGTGATTGCATTGAACCATTCTGAGACTGAGTTTATTCCAATAACAAAAAGAGCCGCACAAATAATACGTTGATAAAAAATTGTATGTTACTAATTAAAAGTTATCAAAAGTGTTGTGTGAAGCTCAGTCAACTTTTTATTTTGACAGTTATCATCAGATGATGTTCTAAACGAAGTTAATGAATTAATTTTACTTTAAATATATTTTTATGCTTTAAATGGATATTTTTCACTATTTTGATTAATTTTGAAAAATAACATTATTCTTCATTATCTTAAAGGTTAGAGTCGTCAGAGAGCCTTCAAAATTTATATTTGGCCCTTGTGAAGAAATTGTAAAATAAAATTTACAGAAGCTAGTTATCTCCATTTTGTATCTGATGTCCATTTTCATAATGTTCTCTATACTTCAGTCAGACCTGTATCGATTAAACTAGTTAAAGTATTGCAGGCTTAGTATTTAAAAAATATATAACTACTAGAAAAACTGTAATACTGCTTTCCTTAACTCGCTTTGTTCGAAACACGCCGTGTACTGTTAAGTAAAATTAGGGAAGGTTCAACTGAATTTAAAATTCTCAGTAGCAAGTAAAATTAATAGCAGGATGTATTGTCTAAATAAAGAGATTCTTAAATTCGCAAGAATTTTTCATACGAAGCTGGGAAGATGTCAAAAAGTTAATTCCTAAGGGGAATATCACATTAATTTTGCGCATGTGCTAGGACTTTCTAGATGTTATACGGGGCAAACATTGTGGATCTGATCAGGAATTTTGAATACAAAGTGAAAGTATATTTGCAAATAGTTAATGATCTAAATAATTTGTATACTTTATCTATATAGGAAAAACAGAATGTCTAATATTAATTCTGAAACAGTTCTATCAGTAATTTAGATAAAAGCTTTTCTCTGAAGTTGTACAAGTTGATCTTTTAAGATAAAAGATCCTTCACCAAAGTAAGGAAGAACGAAGGTTAAGTTGTACTTATGTGTTGTAAAAAGAACTAGAGGATTTTTTGTGTGCAATAAGAATTAATAATAAAACATTTTTTTTCCGTCTCAAATAAAAGAGATTTCAGTATGAAAGAATCTCTTGTTATCAAGAAATACGCCCCGATTATTAATACCCAATAAATTCAGGAAAATTATGTTGATATAGTTTGAGATAGAAGGTAGAGATATTTATATAAAAAAAAGAGCAACCTTTTTTTCAGTAACAAACTGTTTAAAACTTTGGGGCATCTTTAGGAAGTTGACATGCTACCGATCACAGTATTAAACTTAGAACAACTAATAGATAATTCAAAGCTTAAACAAATTGCAGTGTGTTTCTTTTCATAACTAAGATGGAGACAAAACGCTTCGGATTTTTTTCGATAAAAAATATAAGAAGCGCTCCTTGTTGAAGCTGATCACTCGCACATTAACAAGGATGAAGAATAACCCTAGTAAATTCTGTTTTACCCTGTTTGGATTTTGGCATAAAAATTTTCCGCTGTAGGAAAATACATTCCAAATATATGATAAAACTTTAAATTATATTTCATGGTTTATTCTTTTTTTAAAGTACTACTTATTATCGTTAGTTATTCTATTTGCCACTAGAATTGTTTACACGTGTGTGTGTGAACATTTTAAATCGAAAATATTTCATCTGATTTTGATAAAAGAACCAAAAGATTAACTTCTTGAGAATGTAGATCAATGTTATACTGAAGGTCAACAAAACTAGTTATAATAGTAGCACATTAGGATTTTCAAAAAAGTCAAAACTCGAGACAAATTGAGATAGAAAGATTCTGGCATTTAGACCTACATCTCTGAAGATAAGGAGTTGTTTAGTGTATATTTTTAGGTTGTTTACTGAAAATGCTGAAAATTTTGAGGGTCGTGGATTGCACTCTGAGTGCATTTCTAGTTAGAAATATCCATATTTGACACCAACCAGTCGTAAATCACAAGACAAAACTTTATTCCAACAAGTGACCTTAATGAATATGAACTGATACGTGAGAATAAAGAAGTTTTGTCTTGTCATTTACAACTGATTGTTTTAACCAAGAACAGTAACATACACAGAACTTTCACTAGGTACTTTGTAACAATATCACTAAACTCGATTGTTTGAATTTTTCACATTTAAACAAGAGCGTCATTTCACTAAAGGAATCTGTTTTCTTGGTGCAAAGAAATCTTACCTCGCGTAGCCCTCAGTTGATGGCCCTAAGCTATGGCGTAATTTGCGTAAATCAGACCCATTTGGGGGCCTTTCCCTGAGCTTGGGGGAAATACTCCTGCTGCCTACCAATACGTCTTTGCATCTAAACTTTGTTCTATCTGTTAATTTGTTCTAAGCCTATTACTGTGATTAGATGGATATTAAGTTCCTGCAAAAAACCGTAACGCAAAAAGTCGAGGCGATAAAAATGTTTCTCTAGAAAGAAAGCTATTCGCTTTTGTATTAAATTTGTCTATTGATATTAAGTCCTTAAGCCATTTGTAGAATACTTATCAGTTAAGCTAGAGCTACTTATGCCTTCATGAAATATCTGTTGGTGAATTTAGACTATATCATGTTGAATAACATTTTGATAGTTGCCTTTTTATAATTTAATGTTAATCTCCTAGAACTAAGTTCTCTTATCTGAAGTTAAATTGTGCAGAAAGTTTAGGTATTTAAAAATTTTCGGAATATTTTTATTGAACAATCTTGATATTTTTTCAGTTATTATCTATTAATTTTGATGTTAAATTTTCTTTTGTGCGGGTCTTAGATGGCCAGGACAAAGAGAAACAACTAGAGGAGCATTTGGCTACGCTTACCCATCATCAGGTGGAAGCAGTGAAAAAACGTTTTCTAACTTGTAAAAACACGATTTGTCGGAGACAAAGTCATGAACACATTCCAGATGTAAGAGATGTTTTCTCTCACATCCCTCTAGAGGTAAGAAATGGCAGTATTGAAATGTAGAACACATTCTTTTAAATCAACACTTGAAACATAACAGAAGAAATATTTTAGTATTGGAGGGTGACAATTACATTTCAAGCTAATATTAATATATTCCGACGTAATCGTTATCTCAATTGATATTTAAGAGATACAGGAGGATCTTTTTTAACAAATGACCTTGTTTAATGTTTAACACAGATCACACGCCACTATAAAATTAGATTTGTACAGTACCGAAAAAACTAAAGTCAAGAAAAATACTTTCTTCCAGCTTATCAGTTTATCAAATGATTAAAACAAAATAATAACAGCAGGAAGTTGTGACAAAATTTAAAATTCACAAATAATATAATCTGAAATCATAAGAGTGACTGCAATCTTACCAAGATAAACTCTCTTTTAACACAAAACAATAAATTTACAAAAGTTTCAAACCTTCTTGCACTGAGTACCTTTGTGTGTCTCTAACCTCAATATTATAGTATAAGTGCTATATTTAATTGCTAACACACACGTTAACCCTTAAAACACACAAGTTGCTGCGATTCTTAATAATATTCATCAACTTACTATAATGAAATTTAGGACACAGCCTGACCTTTATAGATCCAGTATTGTAAAGGATAAAGTTCAACTCTTTTATATTTATTTATCTTATTTTATTTTTATTTTTGTTGGTAGTTGGAATGACGTAAGAGAGTATAGTGTATCATCATAAACATTTCAAGAAATACGTGATTAAATTTTTTTATTTTGTAATATACAAACTTAAAACTACCATATTCTATAATATAAATGTCTCATGTAAGCCCTTATATTGAAATACAAACATTTACGTTAAACACATTTTTTTTATAGTTTAAATGAAGTAAATTAATTTTTACAAGAATCGCTAATAAACTCTACCTATCAAATTTTGCTCTGTAAACAAAACGCGAGTTATATAGCACATGGATGCACTGGAGGGTCACCAGTTTTATCCACTCGCACCATATACAGTAGTGTATTGTCTGTCAGTCAGTCAGTAAATACTAAAATGACGTTACGTAAGGGACGCTTAACGTTGCAATTTTTACTGTCGTGACGTCAGTAAAACGTGAGCATGCCATGAATCACGAGAAAAATAACTCGGTCAGTAGGCTGCAACACAGCATGACATATTAACTTAAAAAGCAAGAAATAAAAATATTTTTACTCTTAATTTTGGTTTAATTTACTCTTGAAACAGAACACTTTCAGGGACCCTGCAGAAGTACATCTAATATTTGTCTATATTCGAGTATTATTACTAGGATGTTTCATTGTTTAAACTATTATATGTTCTGAGTATAATTATATTTTAATAAGTTTTTTACTATAAAGTAAAGTTTTATTTTGTCATACTTTTACAAATGGGTAATTTTAAATATTGTTAATAATTTTGAAGGTTTTTTTATAATATACATTTCTCAACAAAAAAACAAAAGAAATGAAAGTTTTGTGTGAAGATGTTATCGGTCCTTTACTGAAGTAGGGTAATGCATATTCTAAATTATTGAAGGCCAAGTCCAAATGGGGTACCAAATTGTTTCACGCAAACAAAAAATTCGTAGAGAATTGTTAGTGAAAAGGTTGGGCTATAAAACCTGCTAGTCAGTGGAGGATTTAGCTATTCTAGGGCTCTAATCGCAATCTCAAGTTCGGACCCCTATAGGGGGTTATGCAATCACGTGACTGAAAGCGGAACTAGTTTTACCATCTGCCATTTTGGACGTAAGCACGACGACTTTACCAACTGCAACGTTGATGAACTGTCTAAACATCGATACAAGGTAAAATGTCAGCAATTTGGAGTGGCTATGACAGACCCGTACTTTATTCCCCCGACAATGACCACAGGTTTAGCTGCCGCTTCATAAGTTATGTTGACAAACAGAGACACAGTTATGGACATTTTCGACATGGAATACCCTGATATTTTCAGTAATCTAGTTTTTAATTTTAGTGCCACATATTGAAGGCATACAAAGGTTAGATGCCTATAAATACTTTGTGACAGGCTGGGTGCACACTGTCATACTGTGGAAAGTATACCACTCGTCACTTTTCATAATCTATTTGAACTGGTACAAGAACTTTTAAACTGAACTTAGACGAGTTTCAATTAATCATCTTTATTCGCTTAGCAGTATTTCATGTGTGCTGACGACTGATATCGTTCTAACTTTAAAGAGAATCGACTTGTTTGTGAGGTTGTTTGTTAACGTTGCTTACGTTTACTAGATCTATTATGCCTAGGATCTAGATCTAATTGCTTAACGACATAACGCATGGATTCTAACGTTACATTACATCGACATTTTATAGGCTCTATACTAGTTAAGCTTTTAATGCATGATTCTATCCAAATATTCAAATTTTTCATCAAACAAGCATCAGCTACATGCTCTTAAGTGTACTTATAGTTTCTGAGATAATATAATCTGTTAATTTGTATGTGAATATATGTGTAATTAATGGCGGTTTAATGTATTAAAATGACTCAACAGTGACAATTTACAGCAAAAGTTATATTTTCATATTTGTGAAGTACTTTTCTTGTTTGACAATAAAAATGGTAAAATCACTAGGACCAGTAAGGTTGTTAAGTTACCAGCAGTTCACGCATAAAAAAAACAACTATGTATTAATGCTATATTTCAGCCCATATTCATAATTGTGCACTGCGAAGGAATATTATATTAGGTGGACGTGTCTGTGTCTGCATCAAAAAATTTTCCCTGTTCAAGCCCATAACTTGAAGATTTTGTGGTGCTGGTATTAATATTCATGATAGTTTCATTGTCTAGAAAAATACTTTTAATACAATACGAATATGTTTGTAGGTATGTCATTCACAATGACTGTCCGACAGCTCTTTGAGTGTTTGGGTTGCAGTATATAGCAAGACTAGAAAAGTGCTGCTTCTATGTAACAGCCACATTATTCTACATGGAGACAGCAATATAGATGGCCAAAGATCACACCTGTATTTTGTACAACCAACAGCAACACAACCAATTGGCATTATTACACGATTCAGTTCTAAGCATTTAACAGCTAGGTTCACCGTTATTTCACTAGTTTGTTCTTACGGCCAATATGGCGAAGTAAACAAAACCGACATAGTGCATAGCCTTTATAGTTAGTATTACTCTTGACATAATCATCTTACTATAATGGACGTAGCGTGTATATATGTACCTATCAATTTATGTGACCGAATAAAATATATAATATGGCGCCATCTATTGAATGGCACCGCAAACAAATGTCCATAAAAAATTAATTTCACACTTTGGGTATTTCAACATTCAGGCAATTAGAAAAATAACTGTGATGTGTGCAACAACCATTTCTTTATAACAGAACACAATTTTAAATAAAAGTACTCTTCTCACAACAAGAACACGACTTTCGCTAAGACTGTACTTGAAGGTTTGATTTACATCTTTATTGATGTAATTTGTAACTATAATACTAAAAAAATAGAGTTCTTAAAAAAACTGTTATTTTTCAATAAAGGGTACCACTTTTAATATATAAAACATTACAGCTTATATCGGCACAATCCGAACACTTTTCCTGTGCAATATTTTCCAGAAAAATCCTTTTTTTTTAGAATATGTTCACTTTTTCTATATTTTTTTCAATGGGGTATGAATACTAGTAAGTACTAGCACAAACATCTAGTTTAGATAACTCATAATGGTGTGAATTAGTAACTAGCTAGTAACAAATAAAGAATAAATACCTAACTCACATCAAAACTTTGCTGACTTTTTCACCGTAAACTGGTCAACAGTTAGTTCGTAATTCATATGTTCTAATTCCTCGTTTTCTATGTTCAGAAGTGAAAGATAGGATAAACAATTTTCAGATATTGTGTTCCGTAAATTGTTCTTCACTCTTTTTAACACAGAAAAATTACCCTTCATGATTCTGCTGCATAATTGCCGACTAGACGTAACGAATGGCTAGCGCAAGGTATAAATAAGGCTGATTCTGCTTGCTTTTAAATTCTTGCTTGAAGTCCCGAATATTTTCCAGCCATATTTGAAGCATTATCGTAGGTTTGACCTCTACAGTTTTTGATGTTCATATTCAATAATTGCAAGGTATTTAGTTTCATTAATGCTTTATTTCCAGTTCCCATTTAAGAAAGCACACCACAATATCCTTAACAGTGATTCAATTTTCATGTTCATACCTAAACAAGTAGAAACTACGAGCTCCCCAGTGGCACGCGGTATGTCTGCGGACTTACAACGCTAGAAACCGGGTTTCAATACCCGTGGCGGGCAAAGCACAGATAACCCTTTATGTAGCTTTGTGCTTAACTACAAACAAACAGACACTACGAAAAAAACAACAATATCAAAGTGCACAACACCTTCTTTATCATTGCTTTCGAAATCAACCATCAGAAAAATTTCTACTTTCATAAAAGCCATGACAGAGAAAAGATCAATGAGTGTTATTCACATTCAGATGTTTTAGTTCGTCTCAAGATGCTTTATTCAATATATTAGATTTGACTAATTTTGTAGCAATCCCATTTACACTTGACTATTTTGCGACAGTATTTACCTGCGGAATTACTATGGTGGCTAATCATCTGCTTTGTATTTATGATGTCAATCACCGCAGTACTGTATCACAAGTCTTGTTTTATGATGTCAATCACCGCAGTACTGTATCACACGTCTTGTTTTATGATCTCAATCACCGCAGTACTGTATCCCAAGTCTTGTTTTATGATCTCAATCACCGCAGTACTGTATCACAAGTCTTGTTTTTTTGTTTGTTTTTGCGGAAATGTAAATAACTATTCCATTCAGTGACAGAGAGGAACTAAAAATCGGACCTAGCATTTCAATGTACACAGGTCCACGTTGAGTCTGTGGCGCCTTATTCATTAGTACCACGAAAGAAGGCAGAATTTACACAAATACAGGACTTCTATGAACTACAGTGATCCAATTCGATTTAAACGTATTTGTGTAAGCACCGGTATCACTTCTACAATGTGCACAACATTACCCTCTTGTGTTTGGTGCTGCATACGTTTTAATATTATATATATATATATACTTCAATAAACTGCTTATAGACGTTCGTTTTTTTTTTATATAAACTTAAGTTTTGGCGTAAACTATTTACAAAGAGTGAAATAAAACATACTTTCTTAAATATAATTTAAAACTGCCCTTGTGTAATACATACATATATACAATTAAAAGGAGTACAACGCTAAAATAATTACACAATAAATAATTTATTAAACTTTGGAACCAGCCTTAAAATGACTACATGTTTCGGTGTTCTTCTAAAGATGGTGGCGTAAGAACATCGAAACATGTAGAGTCATTTTAGGGCTGGTTCCTGTTTTAATAAATTATTCATTGTGTAATTATTTTAGCGTGGTACTCCTTTTAACTGTATATGTGAACTATTTTCTTGTACCGGAACTTTTTTTCTTTCTATTTGCTGTAAATATAGGTTACAGGAAACCTACGCAGACATACTTGAAATACAAATGACATGAATTTATTTATTTCAATTTATTTGTGTGTAAACTCATTTATTTCAATTTATTTTATTAGTTGGCGGTGTAGTAGGCTCCGGCTTGCTTAAAAATAGTAAATGTGTGAATAAAAACATTGCATTTGACTGATATATAAGTTTATATCAGTGGCTTTAACGACTTAGGTTTAACGTTTAATTTCAATCAGAGAACTTGGTGTTGTTTTTACCAACTGGGATATTTGCATTTTACCGAAACAAATTAATATACTTTAAATAAGGCCTACTTCATTATTCAGATTAATAAACTAAATAAGTCAGTCTCCTTACGTGTACATCTCTCTGCTGACTGATTGTAAGATCACATACATCCTTGTAAGCAACAAGTAAGAAAATACTGGTGAATTACTTTACGGTGTGAGCAGACTCTGAGCAGTTCACTCCTATCAATCACTCCATCCAAATCAAGACTCGTCAGAACGTCTTGTTCTTGCCATATGTCTGAACGACTCCAGGTGCTCCTGGGATACAGTCGATTCTTAATAAATTTCAAGATAGGGAAACTTCTCTCACAGCCAACTTGTGTGAAAAACAGAGTCAATAGAAACTTGTAGGCCAGGCCACTCATGTTATAGGCATCTATCATAATATATATCGTCTCAGAACTTGGCAGTAACAAATAGCGGAGTTCTTACATGTATAGCATGACTTATTCCCCAGCCCCGTTGATATATCCCTACACATCCCATACTCTAGTCTTCTCTAGATGTTTCTTTTCTCACCCTAGTGGTGATCTCTTCAACTTGTTCCAACACAAAGCCAGACTGATTAATTCACATCGTGCATTTTTTTCACTGTGTTTCTATCATCAAACTTGATCAAACGTTTGCTTAATTCTTCCAGTACCGGTTTCTGAAACTCTGGATCTCTTATTTTAGAAAAAAATTCTAAGGTTAAGACAAACAAGGTTGGCATAGAGTGTTCCACTGGAAAGAAAACAGCGACGCGTGCTCTAATTAATTATGTTAAGGATCATGTTGTGGACTTGAATTCTATAGGCTGTAATAGTATGAGATATTTGTACATCATGAGCGGATTCGCTTTCCATGGTTTTCTTCTTCCATACCCTTTGCCTGTACTTCAAGTTCACAATCTTCCAGTTGTTGGAGCTTATCATTTGTCCACTCTATAAAAATTATCTAAACATCAGAATATCCATCAATGTTTTGAGCTTCTTCTGTATTCCAGCCACTATTTTAAGAGCTTTTAAGAAATCCATTTTGCTAATTTTACAATATTGAAGTCAATTCAAATATGCGCATGAAAATATGAGCTGTGACTACTTTCTCATATTTAAGTAGCAATTCTTTATAAGCTTGCACCTTTACCCGCACGTCAGGTTTATATTTCTTGAATCCTTGATATTATAACAAGGTCAATGTATAAAGCATAATTTGGTTTTGATACAGGCCGATGTTCTTATGTTTCAAAAGGGAGGAAAACCAGAGAATAACTCCGAAAACTACCGACCCATAAGCTTAGCAAGCAATATAGGAAAACTTCTATAAAAAATACTAGGCTCATAACTTACCTAGCAACCAAATCAATACTCCCAGAAACACAAAACTGTTTCCAAAGAGCAAGAGAAACAACAAAACATCTAATTAGATTAAAAGAAGGCTTTAATAAAAAAACACTGCAGAGTCGCATGCTTTCTTGGTGTAGAAAAAACATTCGGTAAAGTAAGGCACAATGGAATCAGATACAAACTGTCCAAAATGGGACTTCCCAAAGAAGTTATCCACTGGGTTTCTAACTTCCTCGAAGATAGGAACATCAGAGTAAATTTTGAAAGCACCTACTCCAAGTGCTCACTCTAGAGACGGGCGTCCATCAGGGAAGAGGATTTAGCCCTACTCCTGTTTATCATGTATGCCAGCGACATGCCTCTTAAAGACCCAAATCACACTTTTTGCTCATAGTTCGCATATGAAGCTGCTGTCTGGAAGAGTACCCCAAACCCAACAACGCCAATATATAATGTTCAACCTGCACTAAGCGAGATAGAACTGTATTGCAATAAATGGAGAATTTAAATTCATACGGACAAAACACAAGTCATACTATTAACAAAATCCAGCAAAATAATACCACAGTTAGTTCTAGACGGGACTCTCTTACAGGTAGCAACATCAGAAAAATTCTTAGGGATTACTTTTAACTCGAAATTAACCCGGATCCCACACATTAATAGCATTAAAACCAGAATCTGGAAAAGAGCGAGTTTTCTTATGAGCCTGACGGGCAACAAACAAGGAGATTCACCAGAAACATATTAAAATTTAACAGAACATACATAAGACCAGTCGTAGAATACGTCTGCACAGCATGGAGCAATGTATCAAAAACACACATCAGCAAATACAAAACTATATTTTAACGAAAGCATACAGAGTCCCACGCTTAACAAACTCGGTATTTCTTCACAACAACTCAGACATGCCGACTCTATCATACAGATTCCTGGACAACTCGTTTCAATATTATAAGGAAAACAGAAACAAAAATGAGCTGATGAGCGAATTAGAGAGGTACACAATACATGTTAAGCCTAACCCTAAGTACTTCTCCCCTCTAAACATCATTAATAAGATACTTATAGGTCAAACAGTGCTAGACTGATTTCTAGACACAAACGTTGTCCTATTTTAAAAGTGTTTTATATGTAAAAATAGAAGTATGTGTGTGTACGAGTGCTAAGTGGAACTGTATTGTGAACACAGGACTAATAGTGCGATCATACATTAGCGAAGCTCAGTGCAAATATACTTGTTAATATAAGCCTATGTGGTATCTGCATAGCACCAGACATAAACTTTGTGCGGGGACTCTGTTGATAGCCACACAGTAAAACCTTTATATTGTCCTTACAGTGGATTTTCATATGTCGGTTTTGCAGAACTAGTGAACCCCCATCAGCAATTGAAACAAGTATTTTCCAGTATTCGTGAATGTGTTCTGTTAACGTAACGAATGATAACAGAGTACTGATCTTTTGAAGTGATATTTTGAGTTGTGTTATTAATTTGTACTGAGAACATCCCAGCTTCCCTCGCCCAATTTGCAACTGTTTCCTGAATAAGTTGTCGAGTTGTTTCGATAAGAGTATTAAATGTTGTTTTGGAGAGAAGTTATCAATGATGTTTGACCTTTTTGTAGAGAAACGTTGTAATTGTTAAAAAGTAGATTAAACTAAAATGGATTGAGATGAAGTCTATTTAAAAATGAAAAGATTAAATTATGCATGCATGCTTTATTAGGAAGTATTATAAAATAAAAATGTATTCATTATTAATAATATTTGTGAACATGAGGTTAATTACTGATTGCAAACTTCTTTCATTGATTAAAAGCTGTGCCGTTACGCAACAATACACCACAACCGTTGTGTTGTATTTGGTTATCAACTCTTTTCTAATGAATATTTTGGTGTTTTAGGAAAGAACAGACCCCCAAGCTGTATCAAACGCGCTTACCAATTCTTCATCGCCTATCTCAACAAATGGAGTCTGCGAGGACTTTTCATCAGATTTTGAAGAAAGTGTGACCGTTTTCCGGGCCCCAAATAATAGTTATCAGTTTCAAGAAGTACCAGGAATCCAGGAGAAGTACCCTAAACCACAGCGTAAAGACAAAAATTTCCTGAGATCAGGCCATAAACAATACCAGCTAACTCCTTCAGAAGATCTGAAATCAAAATCAACCACAGGTAGGTCGTGGTTTTTATCAGTTATCTTACACAATTTGTTTGAGAGCAAATGCCCTGCTCTTTTCTCTTTATGTTGCAACGAACATGCGACTATTTTTAAAATAATATTTTTTTTTGGAGTAATGATTTAGATTGGTCTTACAGTGTTTTGTAAAGCTATCGTTTATCATAATTCTCTTACAAACAAGCATGCTATCGGTTCAAACTGAAATTTGTTGCTCTCTTTCTCTAAAATTATAGTATTTGGTTATAGTTACGATTTTATATTTTTGTGCTATACAAGCTTGACGAAAAATTGGTTTTAACCAATAATGTTAGCAACAGAACGTAAGAACAACAGTAAGTAAGTACTTTAAAACGATCAAATATCAACAAGTTAAAATTATTTTTTGATTTTTAACAGATAAATGTTTGTACCTAGTATAAGTTATTCCGCAAGTAGAACTAAAGAATTGTAAACATATACAATCACTTTTATTTACCATGCACAACTTTTATAGACACACACAATCACTTTTATTTACCATGTACAACTTTTATAGACACACACAATCACTTTTATTTACCTATGCACAACTTTATTAGACACACACAATCACTTTTATTTACCATGCACTAACTTTATAGACACACACAA